GAAAATTTCAAGTATTTACAGTGATTAGTTTTTGAATTACAACCATATAAAAAAATCGATTTGGTCGAAAACTGGTTTTGCGTAAAAATTCCCGTTTTTCTGTCATTTTTTTTTTTAATCACCCCCCAAAGTTTGAAATTGAAGCATTATTTCGACTAGTTATGCGGTACATAGACACAAAAAAAAAACTAACTGTTGTTTCTCCACTCGCGGAAGACTTAGTTGATTATTTTGATTCGGTTTATCTAAGTGGTCCTTTGCGTAGAATAGGAACTGATGATGATTTAATTATTCGGTTTCGTCGACTTCCTCCTCAATACCCTCCTCCGACGTGGAATGTGCACCAAAGTACCTTACTGGATARTAGTAGAACCAGCAACGTGTGTTAAGGTGGGAATAATAGGTTTGATCATTTGGTTGGGCATAAAAATCCACCGATTCGGAAATTATTGAAAAATATTAAAAACGAAGKGGGGGCTGATAACGCCAAATTTACATTGAGTGAAATAGAGCAATTTATTAACTGACAAGCGATYACATAAAGGCCATAAAGGGCATGTAATGCAAACTCGATTAAAAAAATTTATGCGAACAATTTACTTGGGGAGAATTGAGCGTTGATATCTTCTTGACAAATATATGGAATAATGTAAGAATGAAATCTGATTAAATTTGTAATAAGTGTATTATTTTTCTTTAACTTGTAAAACTATTACTATACATATACCTGTAACATATAATTAATAAATGTAATAATTACGTACAATCATGTTTTTTTTTTCGTATGATTTTACTAACGTGGACTTTTTTTCCGTTTACCGTGTCAATAGTGAGCAATACAAACCTGAGCTTCAGCCCTCCAAATCTCAAACATTATTTGTGCATATGTATATACGGAGCTAGGAAGTCGTCGACGGGTGTCATACGACTACGCAGCGYTGTTCGCGGTGCACGAAATGCATGAGCATGGCTTAACCGCCAAAAAATATACAGTTGATTGAGAAAAAAATACTATAGATGAGGGTTTTCAAAGACACCRACGATGACAACCCGGTCACAGATTTCAGTTTTGCCAAAAATGTGAAATCACTATTGGAATCGAGACTTCACGCCGTGCGGGACGTCGCTCTGGTTGCCCGAGGATTGGTGGATTACAGAAAGAAATAGGTACGGTGTGTCGGTGTAAAAATGAAWTAAATAATTGTGCAACGACGTATCGTCGTATTAGTACTTTAGTAGTAGTTGGACRAGAACAGTTTTCCGTCCGACGGGCGCGAATATTGTTGTATTTATACATTTTGTGTGTTATTAACTTATTTTTTACACGATGATAAACGATGACTGAATTGTTCACGCATCACGCTATGGGGCATGATAAATTGAATTTAAATTTTATTTTGATAATTTAAATTTAATTTATCATGCTATGGGGGTAACACGAATTATTGAATTAATATCCTCCACACGACCGTCGACCACACRGCAAATTACTCCGCGGGTAGTCCGGTGTAACATCACTGGAAGAAAATAGCAGTGCAGCCACACAATGAGAGTTTTCCGACGATTTAAGGTTATGTACAGATCTCCGAATTTGACAATACTGTTAAAAGTTCTTTTTATTATTTTCRTTTCATACTGAGTTCCGACTGTTTCCATATAGTTTCTGTTCCAACTTCTTCGTACCTCGTCTTCTTACTTATTTCTTCACGATACTTTCCATCAATAATTCCCGGAAAACTCGGTGTTCATCACCGAACTGTTCTTGTTGTCAATTAATTGTGAAACCGGATACTGTTTCTAGCACTTCCGGTATGTTGACATGAAGTGTATGCGTTTTATATCTCTGTAAGAGGGTGTCGTCCGTGCAATTCGCATGATACCTATCTTACGGTGCGCGCGGTCGACGCATTTGAACTTGGGCAGTTTGGCTGACCATCTTACTCCAAGTTGCTCATCGACATTTCTACATTTTCTTTTTGTTTTGAACTCACCTCCAGGTTTATTTCCACGACGATGGCAGACAGTGCCAGCGAGAGTGATTCGTCGTCCATCGACGGCGGACCCATCATGATGCCTCCGTCGCCGATCACAAGGGAACAAATGCAAAAACGAATCGATTCCTTGCAGCAACAAAATCGTGTACTCAAGGTAGAGTTAGAAACCTACAAGTTAAAAATGAAAGCAATGGATGAAGAATGCAAACGACTGCGCGAGACATCAGTTTATATTGTAAGTAGGTACCTAGTACCAAAATTTTTAATCAGACAGTTTTAAGTAATAATTGTTAATGTTTGAATTAAGTTCATGACTGATCTGTAATTTTTACTATTAACTATTTCTCATTTTAGATTCTGAGCGGAGCGAGGAATGTATTGATCTTACCACGATGTGTGTTTTTTTAAATTTTTTTTTTGTGTCTCATCACATTTTGGGGCAGTAAAAATTCTTCGATTTTCGACTTCAGTATCTTGTTAAATCAGAAAGTGAATATAGTTGGTACTTTGGGGGGGTCAAAAGTAAAATATTCTCAATGTTTTTCTAAATAATCGAGATAAACAAACAAAAAATTTAAGGAAAAATGGTTATTGRTTATAGATACTTGCTATGTTATATTTAATTTGGGAAATAGGACTATGTGCTAAACATCCATTTTAGTATCTGGTTCATAATATTGATTAATAGATAGGAAATATTTAAAATGCTGAGTGCTTAGACAGTGCCAATTTTGCTTACTGTTATTTTGTTTTAATATAAAATCTTTTAACTCAATCCAAACATTTTATTTGATAATAAAATAGTTTTGGAAATACCTTTTATATTTGCAATCAAGGCATTATTGTTTTATTATTCATTTTTTTTGTTTTATAGCAAGTAAGAGCAGAACAAGAAGAAGAGTTTATCAGTAATACTCTTCTAAAAAAAATTCAAGCTTTAAAAAAAGAAAAAGAAACCTTAGCCCATCATTACGAACAAGAAGAAGAATGTTTGACAAATGATCTGTCACGAAAATTAACTCAGGTTAGTTTGGTCAATGGCAGTTCTAATTAATTTCTTATATTTGTGTGTAATTTATATTGGTTACAGTTACGACAAGAAAAATGTAAATTAGAACAGACTCTAGAACAGGAACAAGAATGTTTAGTTAATCGCCTTATGCGTAAAATTGAAAAACTAGAAGCAGAAACTCTTACAAAGCAGACAACGTTAGAGCAATTACGACGTGAAAAAGTTGACTTAGAAAATACATTGGAACAAGAACAAGAAGCTTTGGTAAATAAACTGTGGAAACGTATGGATAAATTAGAAGCCGAAAAAAGGTGAAATACTTATTTAAGTTTTAATCACATATAATCAATAATATAAATTTAAATTGTTTTAGACAATTACAAATAAAATTGGATCAGCCTGTTTCTGATCCAGTATTACCTAGAGATCAAGTAGGTCCCAACAAAGGTGAAATGGCTACAAATATAAGTGCTCATTTACAACATTTGCGTGGAGAAGTTACCAGATTGCGACACCAACTTGATGTTTCTAAAAAAGAAAGCAAGTACATAAAAATATATATGCTGTTCTAAACATCTATGTTTTGGATTTTAAAGAATTCTTTAACACGTTAACTGCATATATTTATTTAAATAAATGTTAACTAAATTGTTGGTTATTTCGCACATACAGCTGAACAAATATTGGCTAACATGATTATTAGACATTTTTATATAAATTGTATTCATACACTATTTGAAAGTATGATAAAATATGAACGGTTTCTATTTATTAGAAGTTACTATTATACATACACATAGGAGTCACTACAAAAGAAACTTACTCAGTTAACGTGTTAATGAGTGAAAATTTTAGAATTAACTTTTTAATGTTGTTTAATATGGTATAGATTAACCCTTTTATAGGTTTTGTTACTTATGTTCTAACTGTAATGTACTTTTTAGATTCCAAGAAAATGGAAAAAATGGCAAAAGAAGAGCGCCAAGTACGTGAAGACAATTTACGATTACAAAGAAAGTTACAACTGGAAGTCGAAAGACGTACAGCTTTATGTCGTCATTTATCCGAATCTGAAAGTAGCTTAGAAATGGAAGAAGAACGTCAGTACAATGAAATGGCTTCAAATCGATGCCGAACATCATCGAGTCCACTTCCATTTCCTCCTTCTCCTAGCCAATCAAGGCCCCTTAGTCCTGGATCCACTGCTGGAACACCAGGTAATAAATGTTGGATACCTATAAAAAAATTTATAATTAAAAACATTAAATTAAATATGTCCAAATATTTATGTAATAAGTGAATGCCTACTGTTTATGTTACTGGGTTCGATTGTATGTTCAAATGTTGTTACTTGTTTTGTATTGTATGATAGATGCGACTGAAGCGGGTAGTGTATCTGCATCACCGGAACAGAAAAAAAGGAAGTGCGGTGGTGGAGGTGTAGACGATAAGTGTTTTGTCCATCCCTGAGTTGTGTAAGTAGAGGGCAGATAGCTTTTTGATTAAAAAAAAACCAATAGAGCAGAGATTGTTTATTATGAGATAGAAATATTTAAACTATTTATATTTAAAATACATTTCAATTGGCATTTACTTAATACTATTACTACTCAATTAAAGTTAATGTATCAACACTATTCTCAGTATCAATTTTGTATGTGCGTTTTAATAATTTTATTTTATTTATTCAGAATACATTACATATAATTAAATTAAATAATTTTAGGAGTGTTTCGTGGCGAAATTGGTGTATTGGGCTATGCCAATATGAATCGATGTTATGTTTGTGGCCAAACTGTACCATCGAATCTCGTCATAGGAGCACCGACAACACCTTTGTGTCCCACTACTCAAGTGGTAAGTTAATACAATTTTATTTTTTCATAAGGTTTTACCCTCTATTTTAAAAATKAATTTCATTCTTTACAGATTAACCAATCTCGAACCTTATCATTGGGGCGTCCAGTCAGTGAACGTTTTGTTAAGCCAATAGTGCCACTATCATCTAATATAGTTAATAGTGGTGGTATACCAACCGGATCACATATTCCCTTGCCCAATCCACCGTCACCGTCAACTTTACCTGAAACCCTGATGGATTCAGCCAAGTACTAATTTGATCTTAATTATGTACATACATAACATGCATATATTGTATTATCTATGTTTGTATAATTTTGCTTGAATTGCTGTTATAAGTTATAAAGTTCATTATACAATACATTTAAAAAAATAATATCAGTTAATAAATAACTTTTAAGTTTGTAATCTACACATAAAATCATTTCAAATTTTAAAAGAATTCAAACTAACAATTAAATAGTAATGGATATTTCCCTAACAATAAGTTGCCTATGTGCATACTATGCCATTGTATTTTTTTTTTATTATTATTATTATTATTAATTCATTATTTATGGAAATTTATTATCATATTTAACTATAGATTTGGTTGGGTAACATATGGTAAGAAAATAGTGAACCTAGTTTTCAATGTGATTTGTCTCTTATTGTTCCAAGCAATTAATGTTTTGTGTAAAGTAATAGTTGAATTTTTTTTAATTTGTACACTATGTAAAAGTTAAGTTATTTTTGATGTAAAATTAATGATCGGTAAAAGTAAATTATTACCTATTTACATTAATTTGTTGAATATTCTATGTCGTCCATTTTCTTTCGACAGCTCTGGTCATATTTTTTTAAATCATATTATGAACATTCTGTTTATAATTACTACATTATATCTAATTCTTAAATTAATGATAATTTCTTATAAATATCTTAATTGTCTCTTTTTTTTCTATACTGCCTGTTTATATTTCAATTGCCAATATCATTCATCTGTTAGCAATATAGATTCAAAGTATTAACTGTGAAGTCAGTTGACTTATTTATCTGTATAAGTTATTTAAGTTGTATTTTTATTACCCTGGTGCAAACTTCATTCTTGTGATACGCAATTATTTTCAGTATTTCATGTTTCGATTTTTAAATAAGCATTGCCAGATATCAGTTTATTATGCTTATTGAATTTGAAGCTAATATAATTTAATCTGATGATATTTGAAAACTGGAAACTACTTTAAATTATTATTATTATTATTATGACCCATAACTACTAGCAAGTGGGTCAGGTAGCTGCTCTTCTGTATATTAGAGGTGTTGATTGAGTTGCTATAATAATATAGCGGCGACTTGATGGAAGTGTATTAATTGAATTACATGATTCACAAATATATTAATTATTACCTAACCAATTAGTGGTGGTTGTCCTATTGTTAGAAAAAGTAGTTAGTATAATTTTTAAATGTTATAAGAAGATATCAGTATATTTTTTTTTGATACTATGCTCGCTCAATAAAGTAAATTTTATGATCTCGATTAAAATGTTTAGTTAAGATTATTATCTAGGGTATCTCCATAGGCTTTCTATTATGTTTTAATTTTCAAGCAATGAATTTTTTAGCTACTCAGGAGCCTTCATCAGTCCAAATTGTTTACCAAGCGACCTAAAAAACATGTAGTATAGAGTAAGTCATCTGGACTCTGGAGTCCAGTGGTTTTGACAGCTGTAGAACTAGATTTTGATTTTTCATAATTTTTTTTTTGGATGGTATGTCATAGACACTTAACATGCACTAAGTCTACACTGGTACATTCAACTCGGTTCATATTTCATTAAGAATTCAAATTTTGTACTACACCTAAAATAACCTTAACCTGGCTTCGTTAATTTCTCTACACTAAAAAGCAACAAAGAAACCCCAAATATTAATATAGACACACATTTTGAACATTCATATGCATAATTCAGGCAAAAAAAGAAATGAACTATATTATTGTTGCATTTTGTTGTTTTTTATTAATGTGAACTTAACATAAWTTTTTTTTTTATTTAGATTTTTTCATTATTATGAGATATGTTATAACAAACAAGTTTATTATACACTTGGATTTTTCATAACTTGCTTTAAAATTAAAATTAAAAGCKTATCATTATTGTCCTCAAATAATTTACTATGTTGTGTGTAGGCCGGAGAGAAATAAAAATGCTCTAACATCCTCTTTAAGATTTTTAATCACTAACAAGATATGAATTTCCTAACATTACTATTTGCAATACAGGTTGCTGAAAACAATGAATTTTAAAATATTATTGTGTGTAGTATACAAGTACCAACGGATTATGGGATAATATTTTTAAATGACTACATAACGACTAAAATTGTTATTCTTGGTTTAAATATTAAATACTGTTCAAAGTTGAGACTGAAAACCTAAAATGTCTATAAATAGCTCAGAGTCAAAATATTTGAATGTATAGATAAATGACTAAATCAACATTTGGTTAGAATGTCATTGGCTTACAGTTATTTATTTTTGAATAAAAAATAAAAAATTTGTTTCTAACCTAAAACARTATGAAAATTTCCACCATAACATGTTAATAACTAAAGAGAAAATTTAAACTAATTTATTTTTTGATTTTTGACTCAGTGAGAAACACTTATCKACARTTATTGAAAAAAACCAAACATTTCTACTGGCTATAAATATCTYAAAAAGTCTCAACAAGTTTGAAATTTTTATTATGCAGTGGATTCATTGGCTGAATTTCCACCTTATGTGGGCACCAATTAATATGGAAAATTCCTATGTACCTAAACTACCTAACTAAAAATAAAAACTAATTTCATTTTATAATGCCAAATATTTATTGTGGGTATGTTTTAAAATTAATTATCATTAAAGTCTTTTTTATAAAAGCTAAATGCAATATTTATTTTTGTTGGGTTAAGCTCTTATTGCTCTTAAATCCATAAATTCTGACAATCAGTCCATTCATTCATGAAAAGCTTTATGATRATCTTAAAATATACTACTTGTATAAGACATTTTTATTTTCTGTTGTATTTTTGTTATCTTAACATATAGTTGATGCACCTTTATTTRTTTTGTTTCATTATTATGATATCTCAGTAGGGTAAGATACATTTTTTATAATATGTCTTTTTAAAGAAATATTTCAAATAATTTATGACATTTGACTTGCTATAAATACAAAATTAAAATTTTTATTGAAAAATAAATGTAAAAATCAAATATCTTGAAATTTCAATATTTTTTGATTAGAAGGTGAATTAAAGGAATGTTGGAAGTAGGAGTTGTAATTTTTGTATATAGAAAAGTAAAAAAATTTCAAATATTTAGCTTGTTTAAAAAAAAATACAACTAATGAATATGAAAATAAAAATATAAATTTAAACAAATATTATAGTCAATAATGGTTTATAAAATTCAATTTTAGAACTTAATAATGGGTCAATTTAAAAAAAATAATTAATCCCCAATATTTAAAAATTATAAAAATATGGACACAATCAAGTAATCTTCAGATTATAAAAGCTATGTAAACAATAGTTGCTTATGAGATGAAATATCCATCGTCTTTAATGTATTTCACACTGTCAAATGCTTTGGTGGTTGCAGAACAGAATTTTTTTAGAACAGAGTCTCTCAAGCCACAGTCGCTAAGATTCTGTTGCCCAAATAAGTGAATAGCTTTGTCTTCAGATTTTTGACTATTACAATATTCTAATATATATGAAAAAATAAAATTATTTCCAAGATATGGTTTTGAATCTATTTGTATTTTATACCTTTTTTTGTCTCTGAAGCTAATGTAAAAGGTTTAGTGCTCTCCAGGTTGGCAAATGTAGCAGTAAATTTTTTTAAAGACTTAGACAATAAATCACAGAAATTGTATACCGCATCTGGCAATACAGGTCCTTTTACTTCTATCGAATTGTAGCTTTGACCATCCACTTTTACTGTACTTTGTCTCACCTAAAATATTAATTAAAAATTGAATTTACTTATATGTATATATGATTTGGAAAAATGTTTATTTTAAAATATTGAACTGAAAAAAATCTTTAAAATGGATTGTATAATAATGGAATCCTTACTTTGAGTGGTGTTAAAGTAGATCCACTAAAGGCTACTGGTGCTAGAAGTGTAGGAGGTATACCTGCATGAGGTCCTGTATTTGATACTGTTGAACGACAATTTATTAGCCAATTAAATAGGGCTTGTGCTTCAACACCAGTCACAACCACCAAAGATTCTTTAGTACTATCAATTTTTCGTTGACGACTTGACACTAGTTCACTCTAGAAATATATTTTGAAATATAATTAATAATTCAAAATGATGAATGAAACCCTATTTAGTACCTGTGAACTTTGCAAGCGTTTAATTTCMGATTTTTCAGCACCCATTGTTTCCAACCAACGCTCAGGTTCCTCATCCTCCCCAATTTTGGCATCTTCTAATGTATTTTTAGTAAAGAGCTCACTGCTTTGTTCATTCTCTTCGAGTAATGGCATCGTGAAATCTATATCTGTTAAATAATTATTAACAGTTAGTATGATGAATATAATATAAATATACAAATACAATACACGATACAATGAATACCTTCACGTCTAAGAACATCTCGAAGTCCTTGGGTCGTAGGATATATCATTGCATTCAGCTCTTCATAACCACCAATGCTTGACGCTCTAAAAGTACATGTGAATGCATTGGCCAGAACATAGAAGTATGGACATTGGTTAGCTCGAACAAGCTGATGAAAAGTTATGATTAATAAACTTACTAAATCAGAATTGAAATAGGAGTTGGGTGCTCCACTATCCTAAATGCACTCAGTTCTGTTGTGTACACACAGTAATAAAATAAAAATATTGCAAAACTGCTACATTTTAATCAAAACTATAAATTTAATGGTACATAAAAATAATACATATCATTAGTTAAATTTAAATACTACAATATTACCTGAAATAAAGATCTGAAACTATCAATCCAATGAGTAAAAAGAGACTCTCTAAAAATTGGATTTGCATTAATGGAAGGCACAGAACTGGCTGAATCCTTAATTGTAACACGAGGACCTCTGTGAATGAGATCAACCCAAGGTAAGGATGGATGTTGCCAAGCCATACAACATTGGTGGAAACGACTATTAGGACTAGTATCTAACGAGTTTTCAATGTTCTCAGTGTCTAAACACCTTACAAATCTAAATGTATAAAATTTAAAGATTAAAA